GCGGCGCGCGGGAGCCCGGCCGGGGGGAGGGGTGACAGCGGGAGAGGCGCGCAGCCCCCGCCCGGACCGGCTGCGCGCGGCCAGCGCAGTTAAGCAGCGTGTGACAGCCGCGCCCGGAAAACCAGAACTTTACCTGCGGGACGGCCCGCTCCGGCCGCGGCTTGAAACGGTTCTACAGGCCCACCCCCTCCCCGCTCCTACCGGTGTTTCGGCTCCGGGTCCTTCACTCGAAAATGGCGCCTAAAATACAAACTCGAACGGAAATTCGTTACAAATGCGCGCAATGCTTTCTGGGATCCACTAATTTAAAATAAAGTGCGGCGATTAGCACCGCCATCTTCTGGTCGCTCGCGCGCATGCGCAAACTCCTGGCGGGAGCCCGGCAGGAGGGGAAGTTTCTATTAAGTGGAAAAAAAAAAATGAGAAATGCTTTCTCCGTGGCCTAAGCAGAAGCACTGCTGCAGGAACTACAGCGTTTGCAACAACAACCTGGGGAATTTTGAAAAAAAAAGGGGAAAAAGGAGGAGGGTCCCGCTCACAGCTGGAGGCGGGGCTCGGTTGTCCAATGACACCCCTTAAAGAGAGGGCGGGCTCGATTGGGGGCGGGGCCCAGGCCCAGCCCGGTGACGTGCCCCTGGGAAGTATCGCGGGAAGAGGGAAGATGCAGCGCAGCGCTTAGAAATCACTATGGTGACGGGAAGGTCGGGAAGCTTCTTGAAAACTGGTCGCAGGTCTACGTGCAGACACCGCTGCTTTCCTGGAACTTAAGGTGAGTCTTTACCTCCTGGGGGTTTGTGGCAAGGGTTTGGAAGTTGTAGCCATCGCAGGACTCTGCTGTCGCTTGCTTTGAGAGCGCTTGCTTCGTAGAGCATCAGTTATTTTCTGTTTCGCTGAGGACTTTAGGGCTCTAGCGGTCATCTTTTGGGATGCGAAGGAGGAAGCCCCGAGTGTGAAGGGAGTAAAGGGAAAACTAGAAGACCGGGTTTAGTGAGTGATTGTGTAGTTAATCATGATTTCGATTTTCGAGTTATTGTTGTTAGGTAACTAGTGTTGCTAGTGAAAGGGAATTTTGGGCTTTTAAAATCCTTTGACTAAAGTGTTTCTAATGGAAGAAACGGTCTGCCCGGGTTATGAAGTTATCTTACAAGGGCATTATGGATCAGCAATTCAAGTCGCTTTTTTACACGTCGTACTGCTCAGGACGTAATAAGGATTATCTGACAAGCACTATAATGAAAATTCCTCTCCCAGAGTATTTAGTTTTGTTAGTGGGTTTTTAATTGAAACCATGGAACTGACGGTAGGTGACGGGGATTTAAAGCTCATAACACCCTGGAAATCGTATACAGAGTTCGTGTGTGCATTTTTCTGGAGGGTTGGTTTTCCCACAATTTCCAAATCTTTGAATTTGGTCCTAATCCCTCACAATGTTAAAGCACCGCTAGTTGATGTGACTGCCTTCAGTATCCACAACGCTTACTTTTAGAACTGCTGGGCCCTTTTTTTTAGCTAGGACTTGGCGTATTAGAATACCAATAAATCTTTATGAATTAATTGGCATTGTTGCTCCGAATATACTATGGCTCTTATACGAGGAGCATAAAATTAAGTTCAGTGATTACCAGAAAGGGGTGGAGAGAGGTGGAGAGTGCACTTGCAAATGTAAGCGTTTGGTGGGTTTGGGAGACTGGTGTGGTGTGAATAAGCATTGACTGATTGTAACGTACCTTTGTATCTGCAGCTGGAAAAATTGTTTTTCTAAAATAAAATACAGAAAATAAAACTCAAAAATTTTTTTTTGGCTGTCAGGGATATCAAGATACTATAGGGATTCCCTTTCAGGGCTTCTGGAATCTTTTTCATTTTCAAAGGATTAAAAACAGTACAAAACCTGAGCAGAAGGGGTATCACCTGTGAAAACAAAAACATTGTAGCCCAAATTGAGTGGTATGGGGAGCACAGCACAAAGAGGTAGAAAGATACACATTGAAAAAGCGCAGAGTCCCAAGTCTCACAGTTTTTATACTGTATACTTGGACAATTTCCTCAATTTATCATTTTGCTTGATGGGACTTATTTATAAAAAACTAGCGTATAGTACGTACTTCATAAGATTTTTTTTTTTTTTTTTTTTGTCTTTTCGAGACAGGTTCTCACTATGCAGTTCAGGCTGGTTCTGAACTCACTTTGTAGCCTAGCTGGCCTCAAACTCACAACGATCCTCCTCCCTCATCCTCCCAAGTGCTAGGATTACAGGTGTGCGCCACCACGCCCTGCCAGGATTGTTTATAATTGTTCATTTAGCATATGTGAGCGTTTGATGTTACAGTATTTGCAACATTAACGTTATGAGTGCTATGGATGAGAAATAGGATGCAAAGTTAGAGGAAGAATAGCTTATGAAGGATTATGAAAACCAAGTTAAGCATATTAGATATGAGGTGGAAAATACAGCTATCAAAAAAATTTTGACCCAAGAATGGCTTGGTAAAAATAGGAAGAATAATTAACAGTAATTATGTGGAATATGTGCAAGGGAAAAAACCAATCCCATGGTTTTAGTTATTTACTGTGTTCTTCAATATGGGAAGGGAGAAATTTGTACACAGCAGAATGGGAAAAAATTGAAGTCATTTTGAGGAAAAGTTTTATAGCTTTTGATAGTAAGAATATACACCCTTGAAGTCGGTGAGGTACTGTTTTTCATCAATACTTGAATTAGTGACCAGGGAATAAAAAGAATGGTAAGTCAGAGAGAAATATATCCTAGTTTTACTGGCTTGCTGTGTTGCTATCTGTATGGAAGGTCTTAAATGATATGATGAGAAAGAAACAAAATGTTAATAAATCAACTGGCAGATGGCCTTCAATTTGATTGAACCTAACTACCTCACTCAGAACAAATATTTTCAAAACAGGCTTAAGCCAGGTTTTATAATGAGAAAACATTTGTAACAAATGCCTACAGAGTACTCCTAAATAAGGAGATCTATATAATACAATGAAAATACTACATTCAGAATAAGTGTTATTTTTGAGAGGGTATTGAAGTCATAGTAAAGATTTGGGTTGATTGTTGACAACACTTTGGACCCTCATATGAAAACATTAACAGAGTCTAATTATAAGCAGTGAGTCCCCCTGGAAAAGGCTGGGTTACAACCATAACCCTATCCCAGTCTAAAATCATCTATGGCACCAACAGTATTTACGTGGGATGACCAAAATATACAATGAATGCTTTTTAAAAATTTAAAAATTAATATAGTAAAATATACATTATCCTGAATTCCCATGTGTGTAATCTGCCTCACTTCATATACACTTTCCCATCGTTGTTGCTATTTTGAGTTTTGGGTCTTTATAAGGTGATAAAAAATATGGTGAATACGGCACCATCCAATCAATGGAAAGGCTTGGAAAAACATTATGCAGTGTTCTCTGACACTATGTGACTTCCAGATCTTCCCCAAAGTCAAAATGATCATGAAATGGTAAACATTTTAAATCAGTTCAGATCATCAAAGAGCCCAGCACAGCTAAGACACAAAGCACTGCTTCAGAAAGTTACAACAATTATAGGATAAATATGTTCAAAGTGAGGGGAAACAATTTGAAGGGGATTAATAGCAATGTGTCTTTTATTATAATACATTTTAATATTTAAACATAGTATTCTTTGATCACACTTTATATCTGCAATTTCAGGCAGTCTGAGAAAGGAAGCCTTATTTTTTGCTCTACAAAAGCAAAATTATATCCCACCTGAAGAAATATGTTCAAAGAGAAAAATTTTATTTAGGATTAAAATCTTTATTTGCAATTCTTTAAATGCAGTTTTAGGGGATTTAGCTCAGTGGCACAGCACCTGCATGGCAAGCCCAAGGTCATGAGTTTGATTCTTGGTACCAGAAGAAAAACAAAAAACAAAACAAAACAAAAAATGCAATTTTGTAAAAGTTACAATAATGTTTTGTTTAACTTTTAAAAGCTTTAGAAAGTCTGAAATGAAATTTCTGAGCAAATGTTTAAGAAGATTATAATTGTAAATATTTAAATAAATTAGATATTAACTAATTAAAACATGAATTTATATAAATAATGCATAAATACTTAGACAATATCGTTAAATATTAATAAGTTGGATAGAAACATACTACAGATAGAAATGAATATCCCTGTTGATAATATAAACCACTGGGGCTCTGGATATAGCATAATGGTAGTGTGTTTGCCTAGATATTTGAGGCCCCAAATTTAGCCCAAGCAGAAGCAGAGAGAGATATAAAAATAGTATAAGTCCCCTAGTAATGTTAGTCTTATTGAAACTCTGACCTAACATCACAAAAAGCAAGCCAAAGCAAAGCAAAAAACTTGGGAAACTAGGAAATAAAACAGTTGTTTTCTGGAAATACCATCTTTTATGTTTTGTTTTTGTTTTTCTTCTGGTACTGGGAATCGAACTCATGACCTTGCGCTGGCCAGGCAGGCACTGTGCTGCTGAGCTAAACTCCCAGCCCCTGGAAATACCATCTTGAAAGATGGGTATGTTTTTATCCCTGTAGGTTAGAATTATGGAAAGACATATTCAGCTGATAGAAGTAATAGAGATTTAAAAATTGTATTACAGTAAAATACACATTATTATTAATCCCTTTGAAAATACCACTCCTCACCAATGCAGTTATTCGATGTTCTTGCCATTTTCTGAATCCATTCTGAAGTCCTCTTTCATGAGTGTGTAGTGGTGCTGTTACGGCTGTCCTGACATCCTGAACAGATTCTTCACCCTTCCGGGTCATGTTAACTTTAGGGAAGAACCATAAGTCCCACGGTGCCTGATCTGGTAAATAAGGTGGGTGAGGATACACCATAATGTTTTTATTTGACAGAAATTGCCATTAACCTTTTGAATCAATTCAGATCTCTATCTAGGAAGCCATGAAAAGAACATTAGAAAGAGGAGTTCCAGAATTGCTTTAGAAAGTGGCAAGAATGATGGGATAATGGTGTTCAAAGCGAGGGGGAGGATTTTGACCTTGTGCTTGCTAGGCAGGGGCTGTGCAGCTGAGCTGTAGCCCCAGCGCCCAAGCGTGATAAATGTTTTAAAAAATTTAAACCTTCACTGTATTCGTTGATCACACCCTGTATATTCTGGCTCCATGTTGTGGCCTGTGATGCCTCAAATCACTTTTGCTGTGGTAACATAACTATAGGAGCTCCAGCCTCAAATACTGTAGAGTTAAATACCAGGGACAAGGGGTTCACTCCATCATTTCCTGGGCTACCTGTGAAAGCGTC